CGTAGGTGATATATTTATTAAAATCATTCCCGTAGTTTCGGAGCCTATTCCATGTAAATAAACAAACAATCATATCTTTGCTCTTCATTATATTAGTATAGATTAATTACCTTTGTGAATGCATATATGTTGGGCTATTCTGCTTATGCCCGCATTAAGTAAGAATTTGTGTGTGCCAGCATATACTTCGAATTTATATTTCTCTCCGAAAACACAAAGGGCTGGTGTTAACACGACATGCGGCTCAATTAATGCTCCAACACAAAACAATAAAGCGTGCGATAAATAGTATACCTAGAGGAAACAAAGTATTAATTGAGTTTGTTTTCTTTCAGTCACCACAGTTCAAGATTTGTTAATTAAAATGATTAAACATTACATTACAAAGTTTTGTTAAGTATTTTAATTAAATAAATAAAATTCATTAAATTGACATTAGGTATCGATTTTCATAAGCGCGATCCCGGACCCACCGAGCATGAAAGGCAGGGTCCCTGTTAAAACTGTTTACTGTTTATGATAGTGCTCCATTCTGGTGACAGAAAGTTACAGTAATATATTCTACTAGATGACCCGGTGATGAAGTGATAGACAACGACAAATATTTCAAAACCATCGTCAGTTTCATTGGCCCAGCCGTTCTCGAGTTGGACCGTTCTACAAAACGGCTGATTTAATGGCCGCAAAGCGTTCATTTAGTTTTGTTATCTGTTAAAAAAATAAAGGGCCGCAGAATTGGACGACTGAGTTAACCAATTGGCTGCGATATATATAATAAACAAATGCAAAACACTTACAACGAACTGCCCTTCTGTAATCTCAGCTTGAACTCCGTGAAAACCAGCTGCATTTTTAAAATCTATGTCGACTGAAATAAAACAGTTTCAATTGAAAAACGGAGTATATTTAAGTAAAAATTAATCATTATAGGTTTTATTATGTTTTTGGAGAAAATTGTAGTAGACATTTTCCACGAAAACTGTTAGCCTGAAATAACATCACCTCTTTTAATTATCACTCAAACTTCAATTTCTATTTAAACTTAATTATATTAAAGAAAGGTATTAGAATCTTTTAAAATATTTGTAACCAATTTGTTAGCACGTTATATTATTATACTTACACCTTATTAATACTACTGATATTAAAGTTTTAGTGTAAAATGTTTACATGAGTGTTTGTGAAAATGGATTTAAGTAATAAGAGTTGAATTTCAAGTAGATATAATTTGAAGATTATTAATATTTGAATATTTTAAAACATCATTATAAAAATATTGTTTACGTATTGTCGCTATTCCTCCGATTTGACCCGCTCCCATTACTAAAATGACGAGAGAACCTTCCAAACAATTGAATCGTAAACCACACAGAACTGTAATGGAATATTTGTGAATTTCGACAAATTTAATTCCGTTGAAGTAGGGCAAATCAAAGCATTACATTTTAATTTTCCGGTTCAGAACTTTTGTGAATTCTAGTAGATTTACATATACATATTTACAAATCTATATTCATACCTCTTAGTTTTCACAAGATTTCGTATAAATAAATGACGCATTGATTGATTGTTTGACGCATTGACGCAAAAGGAATTGTTCAGACCTCAAAATAAGTCGTTAAAGCACTTGGTTTATAGAATTTGTTACTGTGAGATAATATATAGAGAAATTCATTTTCTTCATTGATTAATCTGACCGCGAATAAATCCGGGATCTCTCCTTGAAATCGACTTGCGAAGTCTCATAAATGTGAACAAAGTGTCTAGAAACGCTAATATGAATATAGGGGCTCAGTGGAAGGTTTAGTGAATATAGGCCGCGACCCGCGATCGTTGTTGTTAAGCAACTTTTGCAAAGGTCGGTCATGGATGAGTGAACAAAAAGTTATTATCTCGAGCTACTCCGTGTTTCGAAAGGCACGTTAAGCCGATGCATAGTCCCAGCTGCACTTGCAGTCATTTATATCCACCAATCCGTATTGGGTCAACGTGGAGGGTCATGGACTCATCATGGCCTATCCTTCTTAACCATCCACAAGGAAGATCTGAGCCCCTGCAGTAAAAATTAACAAGTGCTTGAAAGATTCGTCAGTCAGTCAGTCCTTTTAGGTCCTGGGTAGCTCAATGGTTAAAGTACTTGCCCAGATTACAAAAGGTCATGGGTTCAAATCCGATTTCAGAGTGCCGGCGACAAAGTGCTTTTTTTAAGCATTTTTCATAAAGCATATTTTATTTTCTTCTTTTTAGAATGTCTAAATAAAGGCTTTTTTAACTTATTTTTTTGTTTTTAATTTCTTTTTTACTTTTGTGTTATAACTGGCTAGGTTTCTCAGTCTGTTCATCTTATTCAACGCATTATTGTTGCAAGGTCGTTTGCCGGTTAATTACGTTAATTTTTGTAAAGCATAAAAACTTTAATAAAAGCTTTTACAAAAATAATTTCTCCATACCATTTCGTCTTCCTTTATATCAGCCATCTTTGCGATAAATGTGATCACAATTTATTTGAAAGCAAGTCTGGCAGACACTAAAAATATGTCTAGTGCCTACGTATTAAAAAGTTTTTTTGACCATCAATGAAAACTTAATGGTTGAACTTGATAATAAATGTAAGCCAAAGTATGGATGTTTGTTACATCTTCACGCAAAAACTACTGAACAGATATAAGTACTGATAATTCTAAGATTAACATATAGGTATTACTTTTAGTTCCTTATGGACAATGCGAGCGAAGCGGCTAGCAGAAACTAAAATTGGTCAACAATTTGTTAATATGAATATCGATATTATCAGAATTAAAACGGCATCCCTAAGGGTTACACTACACTGAATTACCTAGGTTTTTCTGGTCCGATATGTCAGGCCATATGTAATGCTGTGACGGGTTCGATGCTTGGGCGAATTAATGAAAGGTTGACTAAGCTTGAGATATTTTATTATACGATAATAAAGATAAGGGTTAAGAAAAAAAACTCTAAAAAACAAAAAATGAATATAAAAACAGTTCGTATGATTACTTAAATATATAATTACAATTATTAAATAGAACAAATACATACCCTATTTTTGAGTTTCCTGTAATATATAAACTTGGACAATATTTCAAGAAGATGTACTTTTAGATTAACAATTTTTTTATTTAAATTATAATAACTTAATTATTTTTATTTATATGATTACATTATCATGTAAACACCAGATGATTTTTTTACGAACTCTCATTCATAAAGAACATATTGGATTAGTCAAAAATTCAAATTACGAAAGGTGAATAATAAAAAGAAATGATGTTGAATATCAAAGACAAAAAGTTTACATGCGAAAACCTAGGACAAAATAAACGGTGGTACGGCACACCGTTTGTACTACACTGAATTTTCAGGTCCGGCGGTCCGATTTTTTGTCAGGTTATATGTAGGGAATGCTAGCCTGTGCACTGTCAGGAATTTTACGGTCCGGAATTTTACTTTTCTCTATTCCGGACTTGCAGAGTAGGCTTGGGAAAAAATAATAGATAATGTAAGGGTGATTATGTATGTCTCGGGGTTTAAATAAAAGTTCTAGGCACGTTTTACAATTCAACAGATGTAATCACAGTCAGTAATACATAACAATCAAGTAAAGCAGTTGTAACACAAATTAGAAGTAGCTTTATTAACATTCGCGTCGCGGCCATAGACAGTTCTTGGTTGACTGTGTACAAGGTTTTTTCGCTCGGAGTTATAGTTAAATTCCCGTGCTCGAGCGTTAGCGAAAGCGGTCGACGGCGGTAAAATAGAGCCCGCGTAATTTTAAAAAGGAGTGCATAGTCCTTTATGCTAACCATCGCGTTACAATATGAGGAAGTATTAAAAAAAAAACGAAAGCACTATAAAGCACCTCCACTAGATGGCGACTGTAGCAAAAGTAGATTTTTGCAGGAAATGAATAGACAAAAGACAGTCATTTCCGTTCTTTTTAACTTACATATTAAAAACAGAAATTTGAAAAGTTTGACACTTAGATATCAATACAAATACGAATAAGTACAAATAGAATATAAGTTGTTTATTGAGTTTTGAAAACTAATTTACTTTTAAACTTGAAAGAAAACCGGAAAGGTTGTCAAGAAACCAAGAACGTACCTTAGCGACATCTAGTTTGATTTTGGGAACTAATGTTTTTTTAAATACTCCGTCATTATCAGCCAGTTGCAAATACGTTCATTAAAATGTTCATTAGTTTAAAGCGACATTACCCATACAAATTTGACATTCATTAGAGCTTAAAGACGTCATTAAACCTTAATGGACGTTTGTGCAACTGACCCTATATATACAAAACTAAAGTACTAAAAAAGAAAGTAATATTAATTGATTATTTAGCTAAAGCTATAGAGATAATATTTTTATTGTTTCATTTGTCATTTATTCTCAAGTAAAACAGATGAATAATATAAGATATGAGTCGAATGATGCAAATAGTTTCAATTTCACAGTGATTTGCATGAAATAATTAGCTAAAAACATACTTACTTCCTTTATTTTATAGCAAGTCTTTTTGTTTAAGAAGTAAGTTTTGTTAAAGTAAATGAGTAAACCGAAGACTACTAACAACGAAGTACTTTTTTAAAATAAACACTAGTGACTGATTATTCAGTTAATCGTTACATACTCGATTTGTTGGGAATAGTTAATCACAATTCATTCTTTTATTAATTTTGTCACTTCACTATGCTGTAGACAAGACAACATGGCGTTGTGGTTGCGTTTCTTTGAATTTCCGTTCATTTGTATAGGTTAGCGTTTATTTTAAGGTTTTAATGTAAATTGTAGAAGTTAATGTGATTTATTATGATATTTGTGTAAAGTGGCGTCAGTTTGGATAATGTTATAGCATCTTATTGTCCCCGGAAAGGTAAGACTAATAAATTTTACAAAGACAAGTGTATAGTAAGCATCTCGGTAATTTTTGTTGATTATAATCAGAGTATTTCTCCAACTAGGTATACAAGTTCTTTATGATGGATTTCGGGCACCCGCCTCCAAATATGGGCATGCCGCCCCCCGTTATGGGTGGTCCTATGATGGGACCACCCATTCGTAACAACATGCGCCATAATTTTAGACCTTTCAATTATCAGATGCGATTTCCACCTCAAGGTCCGTTGAACATGACTCAGGATGATTTTGATGGTAAACGATTGCGTAAATCAGTTATGCGAAAAACTGTTGATTATAATGCCGCTATAATCAAAGCTTTGGAATGTCGTGTTTGGCAGCGCGATTGGCGGGACAGGCATGCACTTCAACCGGATGCTATGTACACTCCAGACTTGTTACCGCCACCTTCTTACCCCGATAATCCTATCAACGCCGTAACCACACGTTTTGTAAAAACTGCTACAAATAAAATGAGATGCCCTATATTTGCGGTTGCGTGGACCCCTGAAGGTCGCAGGTTAATTACTGGTGCATCTTCTGGAGAATTTACACTATGGAATGGCCTAACATTTAATTTCGAGACTATTCTCCAAGCTCATGACTCACCAGTTAGATCAATGGTTTGGTCACATGGAGAAGGATGGATGGTTACCGGAGATCATTCCGGTTTTATTAAATATTGGCAAAGTAACATGAATAATGTAAAAATGTATCAAGCTCACAAGGAAGCTGTCAGAGGCATAAGTTTTAGTCCAAGCGATTCAAAAATTGTCACATGTTCCGATGATGGTACATTACGTATATTTGATTTTTATCGATGTCAAGAAGAGAGGATATTAAGAGGCCATGGAGCAGATGTTAAATGTGTACAGTGGCATCCAACCAAAGCTCTCATAGTTTCCGGTAGTAAAGATAATCAGCAACCCATTAAACTTTGGGACCCTAAATCGGGCACAGCATTATCAACATTGCACGCTCATAAGTCCACAGTCATGGACTTAAAATGGAATGAGAATGGAAATTGGTTGATAACTGCATCACGAGATCATTTACTCAAACTATTTGATATACGTAAGCTTGGTACAGAATTACAAATATTTAGAGGCCATAAGAAAGAAGCATCAAGTGTTGTTTGGCATCCAACACATGAAGGATTATTTTGCTCTGGCGGTTCTGATGGTGCGATATTATTTTGGAATGTTGGTACTGATAAAGAAGTTGGATGTATCGAAGGAGCACATGAATCAATTGTATGGACTATGGCATGGCATCCTCTTGGACATATATTATGCTCAGGTTCAAACGACCATACATCAAAGTTTTGGACCCGTAATCGACCTGGTGATCTCATGAGAGACAAATACAATCTCAATACTTTACCACCTGGTGTGCAAGATGATCATGATTTGGAAGAACCAGCTATTATACCTGGGATGGGTCCAGAAGATAAAGTAGAGATATTTTCTTCTGACACTGATAAAGTTATACCTGGTCTCGATCTCGATACAACATTTATTCCTATGGAATTTGAAAAGAAAGTTAAAAAAGTACCATATAGCAAACCTATTCCAAGAAATTTTCAAGCACAGTGGAATCATGGTCCAACAGCTGACGATGCTACAACAGAAGCCTTCACTCAGGCATTAGTAGAGTCTGTTCCTGGAGCTATACCTCTACATATGATTTCACCTTCTGCTATATTTATTTATGGAAAGTTAATACCTGTTGAACCAGGATCAAAACTAGAGAAAGCTATATCTGATGGCCCTATAGCACTGAAAAAATATATTGCTACTGGAGAAATAGAAGAATTACATGATGTTATGCCTCATTTAGAAGATGATGCTGATGATGAAAACTTTACACCATTTGAGTATCCTGAACCTGAAATAGAACCTAATGAAGGTTCAGAGAGGGAAAACAATGATGAAGATAGAAATTATGAACAAGATTTAGAGTATTACGACAATGAAATGGATGTTAGTGATCAAAATAACCAAGATGATTCATCTTTTGATAATGGTTCTGATATGAATAATATGGGTCCTATGAACAATATGCCTCCAATAAATAATATGGTAAGACCACCTATGGGCATGAATAACATGGGTCCAATGGGTCCACCAATGCGACCCATGGGTCCCATGCATATGGGTAATATGCCTCCTTTGGGTAATATGCCACCAATGGGTAATATGCCTCCAATGGGTCCAAATATGAATAGCATGCCACCATTGATGGGTAATATGCCACCACATCCACCTTTCTCAGATAATGGCTATAACAAAGGTCACTTTGATGCTGGCTATGATAATCAACAATATCAACAAAATAATGATGACTTTAATGATGATGAATCATTCAATCAAAGTTATGAAGAGGATAATTATAATGAGGAAGCCAATGGAGATGAAGGATACTCAAGGAACCAGAGATGGGATGGTGGTTATAGAGGACGAGGGAGGGGGCGTGGCCGTGGTATGAATGGGCATGGTGGGCGCGGTAATTGGAGGACGAATAATGGACCACGCGGGTCTCCGTGGAGAGGACGAGGCGGTGGAGCTAATAGAGGTTTTAGAAGAGGTGGTAAACAGACATCAAATTAGCTCAACCATGACTACAAGAGGTTTGCATGCAAATATTTCAATGCGTTTTGTTTAAAAGACTTATGAGTGTTAAGTTGTGGTTAAGTGTAAAGACAGTAACTATGTTGACGTTACAAAAGGTTGTACATATTTTTTTTACAGCTTGTACTTTTATTTTCATAAGCTGAACACATAATAAATTTGTATTACGTCACAGTAAAGTTTATTGATATTTTTCTACAGGTTTTTGACTTTATTTCTGTGGAGTTTTCGGTAAGTTTATTTCCTTTGAGTTTATAATATTGATGTTTATGTAATTAGTAATCAAAATATGTTATGTATTCAGGTAATATCCAATGAAAATATTTATGCTGAGTCTTCGACAATCTGCAATCCGTCAGCGATTCATTGTGGCGATAGTATCTTCAGATGGAGAAATCTCGTGAAGTCAATCCAGTCAACTACATCGTTATAGTAAGAAACTGGTATTTATTGAATTTGTTTTGTCAATAATAAAGAAATAAAAAATGAACCTCATTTATATCATTAAAAAGGTTATCTACTCTAGCCATAAATGTACGATTTATTATTGATTTTAATAAAGAAAACAATGTCTAAGGCGTATCCTCTCCTATCTTTGTTAATAACCAGCAGTTTTTCTTTATTACATTAGCATCATAATTGTTGGGCAATTTGAAGATATTTTGAAAATACCCTCATTGTAGTCGAGTCGTTTTTGTGTGATTGTTTTAATGAACCTGCAGTAGCAATAGGTCGAGAAACTTAAGCTATTAACTGTTTGTATACCATATGTAAAACTACAATAATTCTTTCTGTGACATAGTTTCAAATTATAATGATAATTTTTTTACAAGATTGGTACCATGTACCTTGTTTTCAAACCAAATTTTAAATAATCTAAGTTTATATTCTGTATTTGACCTCCGTTATATACATCATAATTTTCCAATTTCTGTAAGTTTTATACACATTAGTAGCACTATTAGTTAAATGTATATTTTTAACAGGTTCTTGCTAATCTTACACTGTCTGTGTAATTACGTGTTCTGGTTATTGTTACCCAAACTTTTCGTACCTATATCCCCACGCCTTGGACAATGTATCGTATCGGCACAGTGTTCACATATTTTACTCAAGTAATTATTTGTTCATGAACAATACTTAAAAGCACAATGTAGATTGAATAAAATTATAAAATTTTCAAGGGTTTCATTTGACATTGCCTTTCACCCATTCAATAAAGAATTCTTTAAAAATCAAATGTAGTTTTAATTTTTTTTTTTCGTTTCTTATAACCCTTTTGAATAGTTTTGATCAATTAGTAAACATTATTCTCTTTTGTTACAGATGACCCATATACAATGTTTGTTTTGGGTTATTACGATACTTGCCTGTCATGCAACACAACTAAATAATGGCGGAGACAAAAATTCTATTATAATAGAGAATATAACCGAAAGTCTTGAAGCAATCAATGGGACCCCCAACTACAGACTGATAAAACCCAATAGAGCTACACCATGGTATCCAGAACGGGAAATAAAACTCGACAGTTGCGTCAGGAAAGCCCGTTGTGAACCCTTAGAGAAGTCAACATGTTTGGGCGCCAAATTGTCTTACGAGAGTACTAGTGTCCTTCTCACCTTTTACGAAACACAAAGTCAAATTCAAACTCAATTGGAACTTTATAAAGAGTTGATTAATGTTCCTAAATGTTGGGCTGTTATTCAACCTTTGCTTTGTGCAACATTCATGCCCAAGTGTGAAAAAGTACTCGGTCGAGACATGGTATACTTACCATCTTATGAAATGTGCAAAATAACAATGGAACCTTGTGCTATACTGTATAACACCTCATATTTTCCATCTTTTCTGAAATGTAACTCTACTCTGTTCCCCCCACGATGCGATAATGCTGGAAGGGAGATGAAATTTAACACTACCGGGAAATGTCTGCCGCCTCTCATACATACAAATAAACAGCTGCACTTTTACGAAGGTATACTTATAATTTTTTCAAAACTTGAAATATGAAAGTGGGTAAATTTTTACATGAGCCTTTATGTTACCTGATTTGGTAGCAAAAAAATATCAATTTTATTAATTATCAATAATTGTTTTTAAATAGAAAATGGTTCTGATATTAGATTATATTCTGATAAACATTGTCTAAGAGTGTTGTGTTTTACAGGTATTTCAGGTTGCGGTTTGCCTTGTCGGGACCCGTTGTATACGGAAGATGAACATCAACAGATCCATCGGCTCGTGGGATGGGGTGCTGGTATTTGCCTTGCCCTGAACTTGCTTACTGTAGCGACATTCCTTATAGATTGGCGTAGTGCCAATAAATATCCAGCCCTCGTCATATTTTACATTAATGTCTGCTTTGCCGTTGCGTCTATGGGGTGAGTTTTGATAATTATTGTATGTTTTTATAGACATCAACATATTTCTTATAAATATACAAAGTTTTCAATTTGATATGTCATTGTAATTAATCCATCTACCATTATTTATAAGGTGGCAAAATTTCCGTGTATAACGGAACAAGTCCATATTGAAAAAAAAAAAAAGGTTTCCTTATATAATTATGGGAATTAGTATTTGACAAATAACAAGGTACAAAAGTGACATTTTAAATATAAAATATATGCAATTTTTTTTTTAAATATCTTAAGCTATACTAGACAACGTTAAGTATATTCTACATAACACTGTTGTGATCAAAGTTGAATTTTAAAATAAAGTGTAGTAAGCACTAATACTAGATGGCGTTTATCTAAACTACGCTATGTTTGGTTCCAAGAATTTTATGTAGATTTCAGTTTTCGATTAAGTTTTGCGTAATTTGATTTGTTTTTTTTTCTTTATTTCAAATTAGATAAATAGCTTTTTAATTTTCAAAGTGCTGAAATATTAGGTTAAGTTGGTGTACATATCGCGAGCTCCAAGCTAAAGAGGCGTGTATGCATAAATTGAGTTAGTTAATCTTTTCTAATCTTTCAATCGGTAAATTACTTAAACATACAAGTAAAACACTTTTCGACAACGACTTTAGTTTCAAATACATTATTTAAAACACTGTTCGAACCAGTTATTGGCTATCATGTATGTATGTCCTACCCAATACGCGTGTAGACAGTAAACGAATAAAAATATAAAAAAGTTGTCTACAGCCCTATTATTCCCATATTGAAAATGTAATTACGTGTATGCCTATATTTGAAATAAAAAAAAATAGAGCTTTTTGTTTGTAGTGTCTTCGAAGTTCAATATCTAGGTAATTTTCTTCTGATATAGCGGATATTTTACTAATAATAAAATTAATAATTGTGTTTCGTATCGTGATCTTAGACAGTTAACCAGTTCCCTCAGCTTTCTACAGTAACCCTGTCGAAGGACGGTGTGATAGTAACTTCGCCGTGCAAATTCTATTATATTATAGGGCTAGCCACCTATTTGGACATCAGTTGGCTACGACATACACATTTTAAATTAACCTTAATGTTTCATCATTAGTTCACACAAAATCTTTTCAATTAATATCGAAAAAAAACAAGAAAAGAAGGGAAGATCATTTTGTATGAAATTTTTTGATAACATTGACATATTAAATACCTTTAATTTTTAATATGTTTTTTTGCATGTTTAGATGGCTAGTTCAGTTTGGTGTGGGGTCGAGGGACGACATAGTTTGCTCAAAAGATGGGACCAGACGTCAAGGTGAACCTTCAGCTGAAGAAAACTTATCGTGTGTCGTCGTATTTGTATTAGTAAGTAATAAAATAAATATATTAAAATATTTCTGCCACTTTTATCCCAGAATATAACAGAATAGTGCACTACAGCAACGCACGTATAGATAACGCTCACGGGCACGATATCTCGGACCATTTCGGACCAGTGCGAGCGCGAGTGCCGTAAGCTGTAGACGCGCGTTTATGAGCAACAAAAAGTGCTATTATGACTCTTTGATGGACAATTGCTTAAATTCAACACTAAATAGTGCATGGCCGTTTTTTAACTGTTTTCTACTGAGAGTTGGTGTTAAATAGGTATTTGCTTGAGATCTTATTTATCCGATGAGCATCTTATTTCAATGTATCATTGCCGGCCGTAATGATAGATAACGCATTATTTATATTTCGCTCCATTGATTAACACTACTTTTTTCCAGGTGTATTACTTCATGATGGCAGCTTGTGTTTGGTTTGTCATATTCACGTATGCATGGCATATGAGTTTTCGAGCATTAGGTAAATCTCAATATAATTAATTTGCATTTAAAATTGTGAAAATATATAAGTTTCAAATTTTTTCATAGTAGGTACGTTAATAAATTTTAGTTTCAGTATAAATATATTTACAGGTAAAATTCAAGATCGGATTGATAAGAAAGCTGCCTATTTCCATTTAGTGGCGTGGTCCCTTCCATTGATTTTGACTATAGCCACTATGGCATTCGGAGAAGTGGACGGTAGCAGTGTGACCGGCGTTTGTTTTGTGGGCTACGTGAACCATCCCATGCGGGCCGCGTTATTGCTCGCTCCTTTGTCAGTGGTGCTAATACTTGGTGGATATTTTTTGCTCAGAGGTAATTCTTTTTTTTATAAATGTTATTATAAATTTAACTTACATTTGTTTTGGTGTTTTTGTTAGAGATATATCGATATGCACTTTGGCCGATACTATTCTGATATTTGTAATAAACATCGCCGATAACATACCGATATAGACAGCGAAGTTTCAAAGATAGCTCGAAAGGTATAAAAATATAAACAACAAAAAAATCACGTCATATTCACTAAGAAATAAAAGAACAAAAACAAGGTATTAGTGAAATAGACTATGTTAGTTGGAAAGCAAAAGCCTTAAGAAGGCTGTTACAAAGCACTTGTGAAAGTCGAAACTTTGCTATCGGTTCGTAAATCCACGGCGGGAGACTATACCGAGAAGAATCGGAAAAAAACTCGACAAGGGCTGCTTATTTCTTTTTTATATAACATATAATGCGGGATACCCCGAACGTAGACAAATTATGCTGCGTTTACATAACGAGTTAGACGCGGCGATTGATATGAATAGGTCATTTATAGCGTGCAAAATCCATATGTACCGGTAAAGTAATTTCGCAGTTTCCGATATCTCGGAATACAATTTCACCGCCAAAATAACCAACCAATCACAGCAGTCCATCGCATCTTCTAAATATAATAATCGAATTTGAGCTAATATTTTTGGTGTTATGTGTTTGTTCTAGGTGTATTCTCATTGATCGCCGTTCGTGTATCAAGTAAAGATGTGATATCTCCTCGAGCGTCGAACAAGATTCGGCAAACGATCACACGCTGCTCACTGACAGCCGCGCTGGTAGCCATCTTTATATGTGTCACTTTCGCCTGTCACATCTATGAATTCAGAAACGCTGATCTGTGGAAGGACTCATTCAAGAAAAATATAATGTAAGTTATTGTAGATAGGCCTATTTACGACTTCCATGGGGAAGGCACCAGGTCACGGAAAAAAAAGCCATTACACACCATAAAAAGGCCAATTCTGCTAAAGTTTATGGAAAAATCGTATCACAATAGAATCTCAATTACTTGCATTTTACCAATTCGCACACATTTATGGTGACAGATATATAATAATATTTAACTTTAGGTAGACAATGGCAAAATGAAAGTTGTTGAGATTCTATTGAAATGCTATTATTATTGTTATGGACCTCATCCCCTCGACCTCACCCCCGCATCGAGTAGAGGGGGCACGTCACGGGCGGCAGCAACGGGAGCTCATCCCCCCCGCGCCCCCACTCCCGCATAGAGTAGAAGGGGCAATGATAGAATATTAAATTGTTAGCCTTAATAACGCATCATGATAGTACCTAAGTGCGATCGACCAAATGCCACTTAAGCGAGTAAGAATTGTATAGAATCATGCCTACGAACGTTTTCGTACTCTGTACAAGAACAAAAAAAAAAAAACTCTTCGACACTTCCAAAAACTGTTATTTGCATCCTCCACAATTATGTAAACATTAGCAGAATTGGCCCGAAGGTGCTCATTACGGATAAGTGCGTGCGAGTGACTTTTATGTGCACACTTAAATAAGAATTAATATATTTAATAAATAATTCTTTTTTTTTTTATTTGTGGCAACAAATATATTCGACGTTTGTGTTAGATGTCGATTGGAAGCGCTACGGGAGAGCGAGAAGGAGTGTTCGTCGGGCGTACGTCCGTCTGTCTCCGTTCTGCAGCTGCGTCTGCTCTGTTGTTTTGCGGGAGGTGCATTGATGGCTTCCTGGACCTGGACCCCTGCCGCCGCAGCCGCCTGGAGACGATACTTGGCCAGGTATGTTTAATACCATATAAAATAGGATATACGACTCCGTTTGCAATATTTGTAACTATTTATTTCCATTAAAAAAAATATTTCGTAAAAAGATAAACATTTTTTCTTGCCTAAATATTAAATCAAAATTTAAACTTTTATACCCGCGAAAACGCTGTCATTATGTTATATACACAAAACTGATGCATGGTTTAGAAGATTAAAAGATGTCAATAAATAAGAACAATGCCTCCTAACGATCGATTTCGAAATAAAAATATATAAATTAGCTAAGAATGGCGTCATCTAGGAATTCTCTGATAGTTGTCGCTACAGTGACGTCACACAATGTCGGGTCGTATTGCAGTCATGTGACACACAGACAAAAAAATCACGATTTTTAATTTGAAGATAATACGATAATCATAGATAATAAGATTTCGTGACTTATTTTCACTACCGAAATTATCCTATTACTAACGTCAGTATGTATGATGTATGCGTGGTAAAGATATCATTTATCTCTGGAACTATACAGTAATTTACAACTAATATGAGGCAAGGTGAATCTTCATTTGCGCAAAGATTAACCGATACCGACGATGACCAAACGTACAATTAAAATGTATAGTGAGTCTTGTTTCAATAACCATAAGGTGTAAATACAACGCATTAGGTGTTCATCTCACCCGCACTCAGCGGAAGTCAGACGTCTGATATTGGTGGATCGTCCGATAGCGTGATACTTGAATGTTTCTGATTGGCTAACGTTTGTTGCGCTTTGAAATTGACCTTTCTGCCCAGATACATTAATGAGCCAAATCAGTTACTTACTATAATACCCTTGCCAACGGCAATCATTCTAAAAAACGAAAAGTAGGGCTTCTTTAATTTGTCTATACAAGAGTTCTGATCCTTTAATTGAAAGTACTTTTAAAATCGTTATAACATAATATGTATATTTGGTTCGCGTATCTTAGTGAACACGGAACATGTAAAAGATCTGAACCATTTAAAAGTAGTATAATGATTAATTAGTACACTTAAAAACCCATAAAAAAATGTTCTTTTCAAAAATATAACAAACAAAAACTATTTACATATGAATTGCGCAGGAAGTGTGGATGCTCGGTGGAAGCAGAAGTGACTCGTCGCGCGACCAAAGACGAGTTGATAAGGCGCGCGTACCGTCGCCGCGGAGAATTTGCAGCGCGTGGACGATTGTCTATCTCACTGGGTGCGTCTAGGCAGGATCCAGTGGGCTTGTACATTGATCACGCCTCACCTATAGATTACCCGGAAGACGCCAAGCACGAGAGGTAATAATCACACGAGTCTCGATCAAATGTAATTTAAAGTTTAAAACATATAACTAAAGTTAACTTAATGATTTTGCAAATAGAAATGGGATAGACATGTTGGAGAGTTCCTAAGCTCGTCTCTCAATTGTTGCCAGAATTTGTTCGTCAATATAACTTGGGACTAAGGGCTTGCATCGAGGTGAAAATTAGCATTCATGTCAGAACTATCTCAGATTTCAGAAAATACAATTTTGATAGGTATTTATTAATTAGTTATGTTTAATATAGTTTCATTTTTATTCAGCTGCGAGCTGTCATCATCGTGGGCTGCTAACTTACCGCGTTTCGTACGTCGCCGCGACGCGCTCGTGTTGCCTACACACACGCATCATTCGCTAAGCTCTACGCCGGATCGCAGAAATTCGCAGGATTCTCAAATTAGTATAAGTCTACGTCACGTCTCCGTTGAGTCTCGCCGTAATTCGCTAGATAGTCAACTTTCCGTGAAGATTGCAGAGATGAAAACCAAAGTCGGTCGCCGTAGAACTAAGCACACCAAAGCCAAAAGAAAGGCTCGTGCTGCAAGTGCCCGCAAGGAAAGTACACCGTCTATCGAGAGTCAAATCAGCCGTTATTGGCTGCAGGCCGTCGCGGCCAATAATGATCCGTCCCGTGAGGAAGTAAAATTTAGTTTTGATTGAATCGAATCTCTAAGATGTAAAAACAGTGGAGTCTTTTCATAACATTCACTTGTGCTACCAATAATTTTTATATGAACATTTTCGAACAGTGTTCAGACAAAAAATGCATATCAGTGTAGAGAGAAATTTGTGTTGCATTACTTAGGAAGGTACCCTTAAGGTTGCTATTTATTTTTAACTATAAGAATAAAGTTCAAATTAGTAAAATCCAAAGGTCTTTATTGTCTAAGTAATAATTTTAGTCTGTCAGATCTCGTTTATAGGAATCGCAAAATGTATTTCTAAAACTCAAATATGCAGTCAAGAGATTATGTTTAAAAAATAAGTAATCAATCACATTGCATAATCTGCTCTCTGTTTATCCCAGTTAAGTGGAATTTATACTTAATGTTATACCATTTTAAAAGTACGAAAATAAGACTGATACAAATCTCTTTGTAAAACTCTCTCATTCGATATATCCATGACAATCTCATAAATTTATGTGATATTTGTAACCTCGATCATAATTATGTTTGTGCCATAGATAGCGTGGTAATTTATGAATTCAGTAATGCAGAATCGACTGATATTTTTGATAGCTTGTAAGTTTTTGTGTCGACGTAGCGTAGTCTATGTAATTATTTACAATTGTATATGCGGATTGTAAATGTTATTTTCTTGAATTGCTATTGTTGTCCGACATATTGATATTTTGAATTTAACGTTTATCGGTAATATAGTTGCTGAGCGTCGTTTTCGACGTTTGATAAGATATTGTTGAATCAGTGTACAAGCAATGGTTGTGATGCATTTTATTCTTGTTGTAACTTGTTGTGAGGCTACATGCTACAACGTGATGTGTATTTTTAATATGGTAATCAGTTTTGCGGTATGAATGTTGTTACGTTGTAGCAATGACTGTGTAAAATATATAACCAGTTACATTGCTGTAAATAGATCAATGCAGAATTCTATAATGCATTTCGTAAGTATTGTTAGCTTTAATTTGACAATTATATGGTTTAATAACAGTAATCTATTTAGCTAGCATTTTACACTTAATAAATCTAAATTGGAGTATAGTGTTTTCTTTTATTTATTTTATAGTGATGGTGACATGCATTGTGTACAGTCACCGGCTACTCAGGTTATACAATATTGACAAATTTCTCGATTATAAATTTTAATGCATAGTAGTTAAAGAGTTCAAAATCAATTGAGGTAATTTCTCATATTGTGATAGCCTAACGTGCCGTCATGTGTATATATTCCGTTGACTAATTTAAACTCGGCAGTACACAGATGAAATACCACAGTCCTACAATAAATTTTGAACTTATAAGCATCAAGAAATTGAGGACTTAAATCGATTGGAGAGAATCTGACGAACAGTACAGTATCGCCGTACGCATAATTAAAATAAATGTTACGCTTTATTTTATTTAAAGTAAATTTTTATGTATGGCCACATGTCCACTTAGAACTTTTTACCGCGCGGAGCGAATCTATTGCTGTTTGAATTTTCGTGCAGTATTTATTTTTCACAAATATTTGATAGTGTTCGTAGCGTAATTGACTCTACGTTTCTCTGTTCATCGTTCAGTCCTACAAGACATTATTCAAAACGTGCTTTTCACACGTTTAACAAAAATAAATCCGACCCAAATTGCCAGATGGGTAAAGCTTTGTAGATGGATAATTTGCATCATTTATTCCACTTCATGGTACCCTAGAACAGTGGGATACTCGCAGAATGTCAAGTTTCAATGTTTTATGAAGTCATGCTAAAATGACTTGATATTTTTAAAATAATGAACATCTTAAGTGCCTTCAGCCCAGTAGTGCCACATTATTGCCATTTATAGCGCTAATTTGAAAAAATTGATTACATAAAAATTTTAATGTCTTTCTGACATACATACTAATATAAAGATTATGTATCAAAGTTCTTTGAATAAATGAAATGAAAAATTTATCGCCGCTATGTCGCAGACTAATAAAAAAGGGACCATAGAGTATCTTTTTATACTAAAGAACTAAAAAGTAAACTGGGAAGCTTTTTGGCATTTGAAACAGCAACCCCTCAAACTCGTTTATCTCCAAAATTATGCAACTTAGCTATTTGTCGCTATTTCGTATTGGTAGAATTTATTTTCAAAATCAGAGGGTGGGGCTTCCAGCCTGACACACATCTTTTTTTTTACCATAGGTACATATTTTGTTAGATATTTAAAAATAAACACCGTAAATTTGTTTATTTAATTTAATGGGAACAAAAGCAAGCAAATCATGTCACAGAAATACTAATATCATAGTGAATGTCACAGGTATACATATAACTATGTAAAGTTGGAAGCTTAATTTTTAGGTACAAGTTTGCCTAAAACTATCGGACGTAACTCCTGATTTTGATCAACTTTTCGAATATCACATTCCCAGCCCAAATACTAAATAGTACGCAAAAACTAAAATTATAACATACACACGAATTTTAATCTAGAAATAGGCTATTTTCAAAACAATCTGATGAAAGTAAAACTGGAGATCATTTGAAGGTGACTGTCTTACGATGTTTAAAACATTCTAGTATCAATAATATCAAAAAAGTGGACGCAAATTTAACTAAAATCAAATTGTAAAGAAAATTTATTAAAAAGATGTTGTTTATCTAAATTTTAATACTCTGCCGTATATTATTCATAATAATTTATAAATTAAATAAAAGCACACTCACTATGCGTAAATCACAGATGTTACTTTTTAGTGGCAAGATGTAGGCAAGAACTTTTTGGCTCATTTAGCAATATATTTTGAGAATAAGTTTTATTTATAGGTTGATTTTCTGATGGTTATAGTATAGAAAAGAGGCACAACCTTTATAAATCAAACTCATCGTCGAAATAATTAGAATGTGTTACGTTCCATATTACTTAAACTAACTATATAAATCGCATTAAAAAAAAAAAAATTGCTGACCAGCATGCAAAGTAACGAAACAATGGGAAAAACGATAATAAAAGAAATATAATTATAAAACACAACACTTAAAAACTAATATCTACGCTAAAAGGAATGTTGATTTGGTTCACTGTACTTTTATACCTTAGAAGCTAAAATAAAATTGCACGCAATTAATAGGAAATTCGAATCTTTGGCCCTATCTATTAAAAAGAATTACAAAACCCAAAAATAATTCGATTAAAACGTTTAAACAATAAAAAAGTTACCTACAATTAATTATTATGTGTAAATTATGCTAAAAATAGACAACTAATTTTATAGTGTGCACACAACTATCATAATATTTTAATATATTCGCTATATCGTCTCTGACGACATGCAACAATTAACGTCTATCTAAGTAGCAACAAAATTACTCTATTTTAGGACATATCACACGTTCACAGCAGTCTTTACAGTTTATGTAGCTCTAGCTTTGCGTATATTTTTCTTTTCTGCTTCAGAGAAACCAAGAATGTTTTCGATGGCATTTAGATGTCCCTGATGATTTTCCGGGTCAGTGAGGAAGTAATAGATAGCAGACTTCAGGAACTGAAGAGTAACTTCTGGGTCTACGGCGGTCTTGTTGCCTTTCTGTGATTCTACGATGCGACGGTACATGGCCTGAAACGATATTACACCTTATGAATTTAATTAATAAAGACAAATATATAATTCTACCACAACTAAATAAATAAAATGTAAATATAAACATGCTAAAAACTTATTGAAAATAGTTTTTATAATATTTACAAATGCACTGAATTTCACTAGATCCATAGTAAAAATCAGAGATGGGCAAAAATATAATGTCAAAGTCAAAGTCAAAATAATCTTTATTCAAATAGACTTCTTAAAAGTACTTTTGAATCGTCCAACATTTTTTCCCTACCACTCGTTCAGGACGTCTTTTGGCTGATAAGAAGAACGAGCAAGAAACTCACCAGCTCTAATATGAGTAATGACATTTACAAAAACCATGTCATTACCAGATCAATACATTATAAACAGAGATAAAAAAAAACTATGGTCTTATAATAATAACATAATCATTTAATAATAATGGAAACAAGATAATGAGTTTAGAAGTAATCACCTATCCAGTTGCTGGATCATCTCAAGTCCAAGCGTTCTTATCTGTTACATAATCGGATACCTTATAATAAGCTTTTTTAATAAGTATTTTTTTAATAGTAGATTTAAACTGCATGATATCTAATTGTTGTATTTTGCTTGGGACCTTATTGTAGAAGCGCACACAAAGACCCTTGAAAGAGTTATTAACTTTTTGCAGTCTAGTGACAGGCACCGTTAATTTATTTTTATTTCTTGTATTAAAATTGTGTACATCACTTTTAATAGAAAACAAACTAATATTTTTACGAACGTACATTAAGTTCTCGTATATGTATTGAGAAGCAACAGTCATAATGTCTATTTCCTTAAATTTCTCCCTTAAAGAGTCCCTAATCCTAAGATTATAAATTGATCGAATTGCTCTTTTCTGAAGCACAAAAATTGTTTGTATGTCGGCAGCATTTCCCCACAATAGGATACCGTATGACATAACACTATGAAAGTAACTGAAGTATACTAATCTGGCAGTATCTATGTCAGTTAACCTACGTATCTTCATTACGGCATATGCTGCAGAGCTAAGTCTACTCGACAATCTATCAATATGTGGGCCCCACTGTAGTTTAGAATCTAATGTTATTCCTAAAAATACTGTGGTATCCACAAGGCCCATGTTCTTATCTTTTACATTAACATTTATATCTACTTTTTTAACATTAGGTAGTACAAATTTTAAGCATTTTGTTTTTCCTTCATTAAGGAGAAGATTATTTACATTAAACCAATGTACTACTTTAGCGATAGAATTGTTCACATCGTCATTTAGAGGTAACCCTCTTTTAATTTTAAACAAGAGTGAAGTGTCATCCGCAAACAAAACTATTTCGTGATCATCCCTTACGAAATAAGGCAAGTCATTTATGTAAATCAAAAACAAGAAAGGACCAAGTATTGAGCCCTGCGGAACGCCATAATTATACTAATACTAAAAAAAAGGAAAGATTTGATAGTTCGTTTGCATCGAATAGGCTCTGAAACAACTGTATTGATTTTAAAGATTTAGAAAGCAAAAAAATTATGACTATGACTAATGCATTACAGGAATAAAGTATTGTTTTACCTGAAAATTATATTGTATAATAGTATTTTTTAATTACTTATACTTTGCCCATTTCTGTAGGAAATAAACTAAGTAATCCAATACCTAAGTAACCACTATAGCATCTAATAATACAAAATAAACTGCATTAGTACTAATAACTAACTTTAATTTTATCACCAAGAACCAAATCCGAAACCAAAAGAGGCTGTTTCCAAATTATAACATGCAAAGCTTAAGAAACTTAATTTGTTAGTCTACATGCAATGCATTAGGGTCGGGGAACTATTGCTGAAGCTGCTAAAGGGTATTAAAATATTTGTTATCCTAAGCCATGCAAAAGATTGTTTTGGAATCCTTCCAGATTATTACAAAAGAGAAACAAAACTTATTTCAGCACATACATAAAACTATTTAAACGTCCAAGTTACAGCCATATAGTTACATAATATATGCACATTTTATGATTATGGGTAATTAACTAAATTGGACTTTACTGGGTTTAGTTATATATTGAGTGAGTATAAACCACAAGTTATTCCATTCTTAATAATTCTTTAATTGTAATTGTGACATGTTTTTATTGTAATATTAAATGTAAAAATGTAAATATCATCATTACATTAATTAACAATCTCCTTTATTATATAAACCAAACTAGGCCATGTTTAGCTTTGGTGGTTTGATATAAATAGTACAAATAATTAAAATTTCAAGTTTTAAAATTATGAAATGTCCTTCAAACACACCACAAGTATTATAGTAAGTAATAAACAGACAGTAGACACATATTTTTATTTTGATTCCAAAAATAAACATCTCATTGATCATACTGATTTCTGTACCCTAATATCAATATTGTATTATAAAATTATACAGTCTTTAGTAACATTGATATTCTCATAATCTCAGTTATTCCTAGATGTTATAAACTATTATTTAAAGTAATGTAGATATGCTCTGTATTAGATTCCATTACCTATCATGACAATCCCCTTATCCATAAACATGGTTTTAGTATTGCCAAAAGAATAAGTAATCTTCGTCAAGCGCATTTGAGAATAATGCTGTAAAATAGGTGACAGATGTCATCAGTAGATGACACAAACTGCGCAAGGACATAATTACTTATTAAAATGGAGCTTTTCATTATCATCATTTCCATGAAACCTGTGCTAAGCAAAGTGTAATAAAAGTGATAAAATTGTAATGTAGTCTTCCTCAAAAATCCAACCTTTCGAGCTCCTAGGACCCATAAAGAAACAGCCTCCTTTGCACTTAGAAGTACTTGCGATTTTGCCGTTCTGTCCGTTGTGTATGCGGAGTCCTGTAATGCACTATTTGTTAAAGCAAATACCTGTTAATCGCCACTACATGCACACGCTACTCCACACTATGATTGTGTACATTGCGGTGGGTTAATTTTTATTATTGTTAACGGTTTAATAATTTCAAATGACATTCTGCAGGAAAAGTCTGAAATGTTAGAATTATTAATAGAAGAATAAACTAGTATGAAATGTGTATGTTAAGAATCACAATGAAGAACAGCCTTGAATAAATGTAAACTAAATATTTACTGTCTGTAAGTGACAAGTGTACAAGTGAATGTCACAAATCATGTTGTGTATTGTCAAGGACTATTATTCAATGTGGTCACTATTGCTTTAATGCATGAAATATGTAGTATTAAATATAGTGATGAGGATTCTTACTCGGACATTTTCGAGTTCTGTCTGAGTGATCTGCAATTGCGCTAGAAGCTCCTCCACCGATACTCTGCTCACTGGGCCTTGGGATGGACCTGCCACATCCTGGAAAGATGGTCATTAAACTGCTAAATAAACGATAATACAAGGAAGACTTTAATTTGATTCAAATGCAATTTAAGATTTGGAAAATGTAATTAATGACTACTACCCTTATATACAACTGCAGACTTTGAAGATTTGTTAAAATAAGATTTAAAATAAATTAATTTAGAAGATCTCACCTTTTCTATTTCAAATTTTGCAGCTTCCACTCCTTTGTTGTACATCTGTAAGTACATGGTACGATGTCGGGCCTCTTCATCTTGCAGCTGCTTGCTGGCTTCTTCCAATTGCTTTTCTAAACTGTGAATTCTCTCTTTAGCTTGCTCATAATTAGGTAGCAACTCACAGTATCTGTTGTTCATGTCTGCGAGTTTTTGTAACAATGCTTCTACCTTGTCATTGTGGCTCTTCTTTAGTTCTTGAGTCTCTCCGACATGTGTACGCATCACATCTTCAATTTTTTTGTCATAGAATTCAATCAAGCTACGTCTCTCTTCCTCACCATCACAAATATCAGTCATGCAAGATGCGTCATGGGTTAACATATGGACAGATTCTTTAGAATGCAAGGATGAATTAGTGAGATCATCAAAGTGTCCTGAATCAGTGAAAGAACCTTGCATTTCATTTCGACACCTGGTTGTGGTCTGGTCTTTAAATAGAGGACTGTCAGTAATGTCATAATTTCTACAACTCTTTTCATGTTTTGGACTGTCTTGTTCAATAGAATTGTCATCAGCATTTTCTCTTATTGTCACTATTTCACTAGAGTTTGATTTTTCATCAGGAGAGCATATTGATGCTTTATAAAGTCGTAATTCAACTACTTCTTTAGTGAGATGAAATATTTCACTATCTTTTCTCTCTAAATCTTTTTTTGCTTGACAAAGTAGACTCTTGAGGCGGCGGATTTGTTTCTGGGCCCGCTGTGTAGGAGTGAGGTACTCTTCTCCAGCAAGGCCGGCATGTGACGAGCAATGCAGAACATATCGCATAGATCTTCCACTAAAAGTGGTACCATTGAATGGTGCATAGCCGGCATCTACAGAAGCAGCTGTGGCAGCACTCCCATAACTGTGTAGAGATTCATCATCTGGTAGATCCTCAGGAGATCCAGGTGGAGTGTGTGCGGAATCAGTCATGTTCAATTTTCCATCCAGACCATTCTCCTGTTTCAGGCAGCTCTTTCTACCTTTTTGTTGATTGGTACTGAAAGACTGAAAATAACAAGAACAAATTATATAATAAAGCTACTATACAAAAACACTGTAAAAGATTTGTGTGCAATAATAATAGATTTCTAATATATTTTGACATATATTATAAAGTGTATAGTATATTGACTTTTGAAAGAACTGGATGAAATTAGTAGGCAATAGGTTTATATGGTGTTTTTGTAATCCATAAAAACGATTTATCCAAGCTGTTTTGAAATAGCATTGCTTACACAAAGTAATAACGCTATTTCAATGTTAACGTAGTTTAAGCTTGGGTTTAGTAGCCATGGTGATGCTATTAATATAAGATGTATTGGAACTGTAATTATACTCACGTGACTTCGCTGGCGATAGCCAGGCTCCATGAGATGAGCCCCATCGCTTCGGTGCTTTTGGTGAGTATTTTCCGTGATTACTGGAATTAATTTTCTTGTAGCGAGAGGTGAACGCTGCACCATTTTTTCACCACGCAGTCGCAGAGACGAGGTGCGTCGAAAATTACCGACGGCGTTTCCCGCGCAGCAGTGCTCATCGTGAAACTCTGCATTTCTTCTTCCACCGTAGTTTCTATTCATTTTCTTCAAAACTTCACATTAACGTAGTGTACTGCAAATACAACAGCTGTTTGAAATTCAGCAAAACAAATCTAGTGTTCAATGACATTTGTCATAGTGTTGGTATCGATAGTCGACTATCGTAAAACTATCGATAACACAGCTGAACATAAAATTATAAATATGCGGCATTAATTTTTTTGATGGATTTTATCCATAGTTGTTACAATATACACGACACGTGTTTACGTTATTGAATTGACTCTGGTTCATGAGATAAAGGCGACATAATAATCAATGACAATATTGAAACTACCCTCTTCTAGTTGTAATAAAATTTGATTAATCTAATTAGCTATTTAGACAGATTCCCGGATAACCTTGGCAATTGCAGTGCACGGTAAAGTAAAGGAACAAAGAGCACGATTCACTCAGGATATAAGGATCATAGAAGAATGATAGCAAGGTCGATGGGACCGCCACATGATGACAGATTACTGCTGGTCCATAGTAAGAGATTGTCCGGATCAAAAATATGATAGAAAAGTCTACAGAATTTATAGTATACTTAGTTATTGGTAGTTTTTTGTTTTAATACAACGAGGAATACGATGTAATATCAATACTGTCGATAGTACTAATGATATTGTTTTCAATATTAACTATTGATAATAAGTCTCTGGATAGTTGGGCGACTCCTATTTGTCATTTTAAAATAATCAGATAAGTTGTGTAGTGTTATATTTTTATAATTAGTTTAAATAATTGTATTTTTGTGTATTTATCATGTATATTTTCGGTAAGTTTTTATAATACTTATTGTATTGATATATTTGTATGAATAACCCACCGGATCTAACGGCGGGGAACTTGGGTCCTGACCTAGAACCCCCCCTGTTGGATATAATGTAACTGTAAATAATAATTCTAATAACGAATGGACACTGACGCTTCTATAAGCAGTGCGGATGGTTGAATGCGCAAAAGGTCCAGATACCATAAGCGTTGCAAAAATTGTAATAAAAAGAGAAAGAGAAGCTCACATACAGGTCATACTTTTAGATAAATAGATTGCCAATGTACTTTAGTAGAAAACAATGTAGAATTTAAAGAACAAACAACATCCATAATTAGCAATAATAAACAGAGAGATGAGCCAAAAGCTGGTTCTACTTTATTACCACGCCGTAGGTCGTAAACAATATATTTGTACAGATTTGTCCTCTTATATTATTCATGTACAAAGAATTCAAGTTTCTCCGAGTGATGGCTCCATATTACAACTTTCAACTACTTCCTATTGCTTTCGGGAACTTTTTAAAGAAAAATAATTTCCAAAATATAGGTAGTGACAGAAAGTGTTAAGGATAGGTCGTAATAGATGTGCTGTATCGTTTTCCACAATTAATGATGCCAATGACTTTTTAAATAATAAAAAGTTGATCGATTTTAAACTTCGCACATTTATTCCGTTGGTATTGTACGAGGTGAACCAGCTGACTAGACACCAAAAGAAATTAAAAACAATGTCTCTATACCAATGGGTTGTGGAGAAATTATAAAATTACGAAGACTTAATTTACTTTATAAAGTTCACGGTCAGTTATTTGGAAACCAACTCAGTCTGTCGTATTTACCTTCGATGGACAAGTTCTTCCTAAAAGAATATATATTTGTTACGAATGCACTACCAGTTGAAAATCAAATGCTTTAATTATTGTAGATAGGGACATACGAAACTTGTTTGTTGGTCACCTCCGAAATGTTTCAAATGTGCTCAGGATCATAAAAGTGAAAACTGTTCGGTTGAGGAAAGTTGTGCACTGTGTATAATATGTTCAGAATTTTAATTGCGCTTCGAATAAAATCTGTCTGGAATTCCAACGTCAAAAAGAGATTAAATTGACTATGTCCCAAAGCAGTATCTTTTACACGGAAGCTAGCAAACTCCACCCACCAATATCAAAAGCATTTGCTGATGTTGTAGCAACAAATCAAATATTTGACACAAACAGTTATAAGAGACAGAATCAAAAATGACAAAATACCTCATATAAAGATGCTGTTTACTTAAAACCACGTTCACCGGTAACTTTAACGAAAGGATATGACCAGCTAGCACATAATAAGATCATAAGTGATTATAATATGCCTTGTAGCTCATCAAATGGTTCTGCATTCAAACCAAGTACAAATGAAAAATTGGAAAATAAGAATACAATTGAAACAGTCATTTCATGACTTAATACTTTGTTGACACTGCTGAACGACAATTATTAGAAATTATAGACTCACATTTTTTTTGACAGGAATTCCGACTCGTCGTACAAAGTTTTATGAAAATGTCAGTGCTATTGACCTATCTATTTTTACTCCTGGATTAACTTCAAAAATGAATTGGATTCCCTTGATTCCACACGTGGCAGTGACCATTTCCCTACATTAAAACAAATAACAATTATCTGTCGAACTTATCAAAATAATAAGTTCGACAGATAATGTTCGACATATTATGCAACGCTGATAGGCAGAAATTCAGAACAACAGTTGATACAAAATCTCAAAGCTATCTAATATAATTCAATTTGAAATTTCAGATTGTTCTGAAGCATTAGTTGAATGTTTTAAGAAAGCTGCTGATATAACGTTTCCAATAAAAGGTACAGTTTCTGATAAAATCCCATGTTTTCCGTGGTGGAATTGTGAATGCACTAACGCTATTAAGCAACGTAAAGAGGCTGAAAAAAATTATAGCTTTGTATTGTACCTGGCAACTACGAACAACTTTATAGCATAATTAAAACTACAAGAAAGCTATTAAAGCAGAAGAAAACAAACAGTTGGATGTCTTTTTGTGCCTCTCTCTCTCCAAGGTCATGTCCATCCGACGTGTGGCGTAATATCAAACGTTTTAGATTGCGTTTAACTTCCATTCTCATAATATTATATCTTCTTTAGCTGACTCTTATATGGATCATTTAGCACCTACGACAATTTTGGAATCAGAGTCCATGAACATTAATGATTTTATTTCACATTCAACAAATCAAACTCTTAATAATCCAGTTTCTCTCGCTGAACTTAAGAGTGTCTTAAGTAATGTAAAGAATTTAGACTTAGTTAATAAAATTCTAATCACATGTGAGGTCCCTCTTTCATGAAGATCACAGATTATAATTCCTATTTTAAAACTGAGCAAACATTCTTTTCAAGGGGTTTCACCCTCATCATATCGACCAATAGCTCTGAGTTATATTCTTACTAAATTAACTGAATATTTAGTGAAGAACCGTTTAGAATGGTATATTAAAAATATTATAAGAAAGTCAGTTTGGATTTAGGAAAGGCAGAAGCACTACTGATAGTATTGGTATTTTAGTTTCCGATATTCATTTAGCTTTTTCTAGCAATGATTATGTATTAGCATCATTTTTAGATATTCATGCTGCATATGATAATGTTATTATAACTAAACTTATACAAAAATTAATAGATAGTAATGTACCGGTAATGCTGATCAAATTTATCTCTTGTATTCACTAAGGCCTTCTTAATGGTACAAGATTAATTAAGCTAGTAAGGAAAGGACTCCCAAAGGGATCTGTATTTAGTCCATTATTACAATACAACATTTATGATGATGATTCAAAACTGTCGTGTAATGAATATTGTGATTATGTTTTAACTGAATATGAGAAAGTTCTTAATATGATGTTTATCTGGAGTTTAGTGGAGTGCACACCCGTCTGCACTGAGACTAATATGTATATAACGCTCTAGTAAGAAGTTTCCTTGATTATTGTACATATTTACTTCAAGGAGGAAATATTACTGCCTTTAAGAAATTAGATCTGATACAATATAAAGCATTGAGATTAATTATAATTGAAGCCTACATATGCAATGCAAGTTGAATGTGCGGTGCCACCTCTTTGTCTAAGAAGACAGTTCCTTAGTGATAAATTCCTATTCAAAGCTTACCAGTTTTCTCTCCACCCTATATTTAAGAAACTAGATACCCTCAAAAAATATTCTCGCTCTGTTAAGTATTGGAGTCATAAACCTACTTGTCCCATCCCTAGTTACAGAAAACTTTTAGCTACTCAAGCTCCTATTTATTGTTCTCCTATATTGACGATATTTAATAATATCTTTGAATCTCTGTGCTATACTCCTGATATTTGTTTTAATGTAGGTATTGATAAAAATGAAACAGAAACTAATATTTTCTTTAATTTTAATGTAGATGAAAACTAGAAAAATCATAAATTTATTTTCACAGATGCTTCTAAATTAACTGGCTCTGAAAACGTAGGGGTAGGTGTTGTTCATATACAGTGGAATATAGTACAAGAAATTAAATTGCCCTCTGAAACATCAGTTTCATAGGTGAATGTTTTGGTATTTATTAAGCCATAGAATGTTATTTTAAAAAAACTAAAAAAAAACAGTGTATTTCATAGATTCTTAAAGTTCATTACAAGCCATTCAAAAATTTCCTTTTACAATGAAACCTTGTCATTCTACAATTTGTGACATTAGAGATAAACTAATGCAATGTAAAGTTTTGCAATACTCGGTTTCCCTAGCGTCGATCCCAAGCCATCAAGGGATAAACGGAAATGATAGAGCAGACCAACAAGCTAAAGAAGCGATAAAGTGTGTATACATATGATAATAACATAACTTCCTTGCCTAAATAGTATTTATTAGATTCTTGGAAATAATTATTACCTTAAAGTTTTCAAATTAAATGACAACTTTAATAAATTGCAGCCTGGTATCCCTATTAAACCATGTTTTACCAAAAAGCACGATAAATAATCCGTTACTATTATTAAGCGAATGTGTCTTGGGCATGTATACTCCTATATGTACTCCTACACATCTGGCAAAGTTGCATATTGTAAGCAGTGACCTTTGTGCTTGTGGAAAGGATGTTGGAGATCTTGACCATATTTTCTTTTCTTGTCCCTTAAATGACCCTCCCTCTTTCCACGATGCCTTAATAGCACAAAAGGTTCCATTACTTACTCGAGTATCATATTTACT